GTTTTGTTGTTTTTTGAATTAAATTGATATATAAAATAAAGTAAGTAAATATGTGGAAGTCATTAAAAGAAGGTGTGATGTCTATGTTTTAATAAATCAGATGACTTGACCCGCCCAAATTCGTGTGCAATGATTCACGATACCCGTGTACTACACGTGTAGTTGAAAAGAATTGATACTTATATAAGAAAAATAAAATAAAATAATTATATTCTTATTGTTATATTATAAAAAATAAAGAACTAAAAAAGTGATATTATTTGACATCAAACCGTGTCCTACACTTGATTTGTTAAAAATAATTGTTGTTAAATATATTTATTAAATTATATATGTTCAAAGCAAATGATATCTACATACCATAAATTTGATTTTAAAGTTTGTAGTTTTCTTAAAAGCCTTATTGTATTTTAATGATTTTTTTCTCATATATTAACTTTTAAGTATATTAAAAATTTATAATATTTGATTATTTAAAATATAAATTAATATATACAGATGTAATATTTTCTAAACTTATGAAATATATATATATATATATATATTTAATTATGATATTCATTCGTATTATTATTTACAACATCATAATAACATTCAAACTTTATACGTACTTTATTTAAGTCGATACATAATTTTTTGGATATTTTTCATATTCATTTCTAATTGATACTCAATTTCTACATTTTTTCCGAATCTAAAAAACAATATACTAAAATGGTTTTTTATGGAATAAATTTAATTTTTGTTATTTTATGAACAATAGTTTTATTTGATATTTCTCATTTGGTATGATAAATAAATTCAATTTTTATTTATAAAGACATGTGGAATTATTTATATTATATATGCAATATGGATATCAAATAAAAAATTGTTAAAGATGGTATTTTTATTATATCATATATGAAAAAAAAGTACAAATAAAAAAGTTAATTTTTTTAAAATAAGGAGAATAAATATTTATAATAATTAATATATGAAATAAATAAGAAAAATAAATGCAGTTATAGTAACTAATGAAAAGGAAAGGTAATATACAGTAATTTAAGAAAAAAAAAGATAAAATAATTTTATGGTAATTCCCGAACCTAGTTAAACCAAGCCTGTACATGTGTCAATACAAAGCACATATTTGTGTCAAATAAGCTCTTGAAACATGCGAGTCTGCCATTTAAGTTCAACATATTAGGGAATTATATATAGAGGGATTAATAAGCATATACTACTTCAATATACGCGTCCCATATGTGACAACATTAAAAACAATTTTTTCTCTCAAGAAATTATTTTCAATAGTTATAATTAATTAAAATCTACAAAACACAATTATTTATAAAGAAAATGAGATTGCCATGCTCCAAAGCATAGAACCAACGGTAATTATTAATACCACATAAAATTTTATATATCATAATGAAATTAAATCTATAATGTAGTTTTGTATGAATCTTAAAACACAATATATATATATATATATAATTATCTATATTTTTTATTTATTTTAGAGAACATCTTATAAATATTTAAATCTAGTATGGTGTAATAGTTATCTTTCAAGTGGATAAATATTAATATCTCACCAGTTTAGTTTTAAACTTTTGAATGCATTTCTGATGACATGCCTATAAAATATTGGAAAAGGAAAGAACAAAAAAGAAACAAAACCTTATGGACTTCTCTAACAGATCAACTTTTCTGGGCTTCTCTCAGATCAAATTTGAATGTTACGAGGGCTTTGTATTTTGCCACTGAACTTCCTGAAGCCCAATCCATATTATTATAGCACTTCACTAATTCATAAAATTGTTGAGCTTTATATTCTTACTAATACAATACTCGTATACTACACCGTACTTAAATATATTAATATTTGTACAATGAAAACTAAAATAATTTATATTTTTATTGTAAAATTATGTATGATGAATATATAAATAAATAACTAACAAAATGAACAGTATTGCAAATTGGGACTGAATATTAAGATAAGCATATTGATCCGTTTCATTTACATCCTTAGATGTAAGAGAGCAAAATAAACAAATTCTGTCCTTAATTACTGAATAGTTAGTCATACTTAGTACTTTAACAAAGTTATACGTTTATAATATTTGATATCATACTTTTATTTATGATATTAATATAAGTGATAATTGAGTAGAAATTATGCAAATTGTAGTATTAGCAACCAAATAAATTTCTAGATATTACCATTATTTTATCTAGCACATAATTCTTGTGTGAAGCAACTAAGTATCCGTCATATTATTAGAAAAGAAGTTGAACATTTATTTTATTAAATGACATACTTATGTGTATATTATTTTTTTAAATATAATAATTTTGCAATGAAAACATGCATATAAAAAATATTGACCTAATGATTAGTTAATCTCCAAACAATACTTTTTCAACTGTCACAAAGGTTTATAGTAAAATAACAAATGCAAAGATAAAATATAGCCAAATTTTATAGAAATATGAATAATAGTAAGTTTGTCTTGTGAAATGACACACACTTAATTTTACTCTCATATTTTTCAATTAAAGCTAATGTATAGTTTCTGACATCGAAACCATTTGTAGAATTTCAAAAATCGATTGTAGAATAATTCAAGACATTGTTTATGTGTTCCATAATCCATTCTTTGAATTCCAAAAGTTAATTATAGAATTCAAGATATCATTTAAAATTCCAAGAAAACATTTCCGGAACTCTAGAAATAGTTTGAGTGAAAAAATATGGAGGGGATATCTTTTACAAATAAAATGACATGTTACCACTTTTCAAAAAATATATATATGTATATAGCCTCCCTTACATCCCATTCAATAGTTCAAACTTCAAAGTCGATATATATGAAGAAAAAGATTCTATTTTTATTCTCTCCTCTCACTTATTCATTCATTTATATGAACAAACATCAGAGAATGTCATACGTACATTGATGACGTTATGGGCATATATGATATATACAACATTTTTAAGGACATAAGAATTAAATACAATAAAAATTGGGACAAAAAGATTCTATTTGAGATTTTTCTTTTTTTCAGAACTTATACAAAGCGGTCCAACCCGGACCCAAACAAAACTATCCCTGAGCCTCCCCACTTCGGATTAATTATTTTTAATTAATTCGGGTCGTGCGTCATGGACCCGTTTGCCAACCCATTTTTTAAGGCATTTAATTTTAATGGCCTTACGCATACCCCACGCCACTTTTAGAAAGGGCTGTATGACTATCGATACTGGACAAAAATTATTGATGGCCCAATTAGCTATTTTCACCATATTTGAGGAAAAACGCATTTAGGGTTGAATTAGACAATTTTTGCATTACATCAATAATAGTTGATCTGATGATCCGACCTGGACCAATACTTAGAAAACCTACTTGGGATCGGCTATGGTCAGATACCCCTCGTACC